GGAGGCTCTGATATGAAAAGGGGGTCTTGATTTGAAGGGGGCTGTGATGTGAAGGAGAAAACCCCTTTTTTGTGTGTTTTTGCTTGCCAGTCCCCCCTTTACAAGTCATGCAAGACCCCTATCTGGGATAAGGGTCTGGTAAGAATTGTGGAGGGGCCACACATCATTTTTTTACCTTCTTACACTTATATTGTATACATTTTAGACTGGGGTGCCTTGAGATTGAAAAGGGTGCCTTGACTGAAAAAGTTGAGAAACGCTGCCCAAACTATGGTTTGTCCCATTAAGATGCCAAGCTGGAACATTTCTTTCTATTTTTGTGAACCATTTGAGTTGCACTGGTTGTATTTCATAGGGGCCATGGATGTGTAAAATCATATTTGTTTCGTACTTTATTTGTAATCAATCTGAAAGCTTGTTATGAGTTCCTCTACTATAGTTAAAACTGCCAGTTATTTTTTGTTGTTCAATATCACATTCTCAAACAATTCATCCCCACACAGTTACCTCCTTATGTATCACTGGTCCCTCCCTTTTAGATTGTAAGCCCTCAGGGGCAGGGCCCTCCTTACCATCTTGTCTTGAATTGTATTGTGATTGTAATGACTTCCTTATATTGTAAAGCGCTGCGCAAACTGTTGGCGCTATATAAATCCTGTATAATAATAATAAAAAATTAAAAAAATTTCCATTAATAACCCAACACAACCCATTAGTCTTTGGTTCCAGTGACTTTAATTTCCATATTTTAATCACATCCTTTCTATCTCTCCACAGATGGCAATACTGGTCAGTTTTGGTTTTCTGGTTTCCTGGACGCCCTATGCGGTTGTCAGCTTTTGGTCCATGTTCCATTCTAGCACAAGCATACCGCCGACCGTCTCTCTGCTACCCTGCCTGTTTGCCAAGTCCTCCACCGCCTTCAACCCAATCATCTACTACGCGTTCAGCAAAACCTTCCGCCAGAAGGTGAAACAGCTGAAGTGCTTCTGTGGTTGGAGAATCCATTTCTTGCAGTCAGAGAACTCGGCGGACAATCCAGCAGTTTCCGTAATCTGGTCGGCAAGAGAAAACATACAGCTCTCCAATGTTCCCAAACCAGACAAACTGACCAGCTCGACAATAACCCAATGAGCAATGTTTTTGCTATGGGGGTTAGTAGGGTTTTCAAGCAAGGCTAAGGGCAATGTGCATTAACCTACACCGTCTATTGAGAATTCTTCAGGCACAGGATCTGACCAGGGTTGTATTTACCATAATGGTACATGTGGGCCAGGGTACATGTGGGCCAGTGCCTAGGAAAGCAGGGTAAGAGGGGGTAGCATCAAGCCTCAACATTTTTTAACTGTGTCAACTCACCTGGTTCCCTGTTTTGGTCACCTCTGGACATTTGCCACCAAATCCAACAAGAGAACTGTAGGGGGTGCGGAGGATGTTGAGAAGAGTCAAAAACTTGAGGGACAAAAACCTTTATACTTCAGGAAGCAAACGAAGGGTGTAAGTACAGCCATAGCAGCCCAGGCAGGTTCTTCGGAGGCCCAAGGGAAGAGGAAGCCCAGTAAAAGAGGGATTACAACAGAAATGTGCTCACTTGCCCTATTCACTAAATTTACCCAGCAGCGAAAGATCACTTCTAAACTTCTATGCGTTGATTCAGCTGGCTGAGGCATCTTTGTACTCAAACTGCGGTGGGGAGTCTGCGGTGCCCCACAGATTTCCCCACAGCAGACAGAGCTCCGTGATTGAAAGAGAGCTGGTCATGTGATTTTTCAAAAACTGCATGTCCATTTTAATTTCTTTTTTTTTCCATTTTAATTTTTTTTCTTTTCCATTTTTATTTCTTTTTTTCCCCATTTTAATTTAAAAAATGATCTTGTCCATTTTAACAAAGTGTCAGTTTGCTCAGCTCATGCAATCGATGGGCCTTTTTTTTTAATACTACATTTGTTCCCTGGAATTAGCACGTGCATAGTTGCCAACATTTCAAAAAGATTTCCAGGGGCACCTTTTTTGCTGTGTCAAGCATGCCGTTGTAGGCGTAGAATGTCATTCATTAGGGGTGAGGCATTCTTTAAAATGGGGGTGGGTCTAGAAGAGGCATGTTGATATACTTTTTTTAGTGAACATGCAAACACTGATCTCAAGGTTTTAAACGAGGACTGCAGACTTTAGTCCAACTTCGTCCAACTCACCAGAATCACAGCAAATCTAAATTCCTTTGGCAAAAGAACAAACCTCCCAGATAATCCTCAACAATGTTTTCCCCTATACGCCAGCATGCCCCTCCCAAATTCTGTTACCCCCTATAACTCAAGCACTGTTACCCCTATACAACCAGATAGCCTTGCACTGCAAGGTTTAAAGTAGAAACTATGGAGTCAGGGCTTTTCCCCATAGTTCTCCTAAGGGTCGCCGGAGAACACAAACTAGCGTTCTCCAGTGACCCAAAGCTCAGTAGCTCGCGGTATACTGAGACGCCGCAGCTAGGACGGATCCCGACATTGCGAGATCCACCCAGCTGCGTTGACAGCTGGCTGCCTATCCAGAGGCAGAGCCAGCTGTGCCCGCCCCCTCCCCTGTCCGTTCCGCCAGTCAGCGCTGGAGGATCTGACAGGGGAGGGGGGAATCCCTGCACGGATTCGTGAGTGACAATCACAGCTCTCTGCAGGGATAGATCGAGAAGTGAGCGAGCGACTGTATGTGTTTGCTCACTTCCCGATCTACTGAGCCGACTTGTGACAGTTTCATTGTCACAGGTCGGCTCAGATTATGAGGCTGAGTGAAAATCACTTGCCTCATAATTCTCCTGTAGGTGCTCATTTTGGTCTAGGGGTAACAATAAATAAGATGTACTCACCCAATCCTCGGTCCTGCGGTGGTCATCGTTCAACTCTATGGAATGTCCCTCAGCGTCCTCACGTCTAATGAACCTGCATTTGACGTGATGACGTCATGGGTCCATAGACCACCGTAGACGGAGGGAAGAAGACCGGTCTAGCAGTCAGAAGGGATTGAGAATCAGGTGAGTATATCTTTTTTATTTTATCCCCTAGACTAAAACGAGCACTTAACTATTGCAGTGCGGTCGGTAGCAACACTGCAGGGGTTAATGTGAGAAAATCCTGCAGCGTCTCTTTAAATGGTGCTTTGTCTGTATTTCAATTCATGAATTTAATATAAATTGACGCATATAGGAATTTCAATGTTTACATCTGTTTTATAGCCCTGAAGAAGGGGGGAGGGTTTTGAGCCCCCGGAACAAATTGGCTAATTTTTATATTTTGTTGTTGTTGTTGTTTTGGGCTCTTAGATCTTTGCTCTGGCATTCTCAACAGACTTTTTTCATGTGATCACATGACCAGGCTCTCCTCCTAGCTTTGGTTTTTCCTCCGCCAATTAGTTTTCATTTGTGTTCTGCTGGCTTCGGACTCCCGAACAGGACGGGCACGATGCACATATGTAAAAAGCATCTCTATGCTTTTTTGTTTGTTTGTTTTAAAATAGCGGTATGACTTCAGTAGAGCCATGCCACCACCATGCCAAAAAGTGTCTAAGTAAAGGAGCATCAATAGGGACCCATTAAAGAGCAAATAAAACCAATGAGGGCCCCATCAAACTGTTGCTGTAAGGTCCTGTAGTTTCTAGTTCTGCACATGCATGCCTCCATTAGTGCCTCCAGTGGTGCACTGTAGAAGTATTTAATTATGATCACATGATTCTAAAGGGGAGCTTATGCAAGGGGGGTGTCATCACTGAGGGGTGCCAGGGGCAGAGCAATGACTAAGTACAGTTGTGGATCAGTCTTCATTCAAGTAAGCCTTTCCTGAGTAAAACATGGGGATTCCCATCACCAACCTCTTTCTGAAGATGCTATCTGCCTGGCTATTACAATGACCCTTCGGCTTCACTGCAGATTGGGAATGTCAGAAGTCTTTATCTTTATGCTTATCCCGAGTCAGTGACTGAAAGGTGAAAGCCAGGCTGCTAACATTTGTAGAAAGAGAAGTAGCAATGACATCCTCCATGCTTCTCTCAGGTAAGGTCTACTCAATTTTTTATTTTTTTTTGGGTTGCTGGGGTAACTGCATTTTGGGTATCTTCTTTGCCCTTAGCTTTGCCTTATTGAAGTGCACTTGTGATTTTGCTTTAGAAGATATGCTGGAAAGGAAAATTGGGCGAGGTCACTGTTTTTTTGTAAAATTGTAGTACAGTGATATAAAGCTCCACCTCCCTTTTAGTTCAGCCCCTCCCCTTCACATACCTGTGTTACTAAGGCAACTATAGGAGGTTGGGTTGTTGGGGAGTTGTGGTGGCACTTGCAAGATAGTTCTCAGATGAAGAAACTACATACGGTAAAAGCATGAGAAACCAATGCTATATCCAGGCAGCCGGTCCCTCAAGACTTTCCCATCCTTTCATTTCCTCGCTTGAGCATCCTCTCTCGTGCCAGTTGTGTTTGTCACCCAACTGTTCCACAAGTTAACTACCTAGCGCTACCATAGTAACAGGAAAACATTGTGAAGCCACAGGTGACAACAGCAGGCCTTAAGCATGATCCAATATACACTAAAACCTTCATTATTGTAGGAAACAAGTACAGTACCCATACATCCCCCCTCGCTGTCCATCACAGCATCATGCTTCCTACATGTATGTTCCATAAGCACAACAACCGTGGAGGCCATTTTGAAAACTGAGCCAATGATTCTGTGAAGGTTGTCATTTATCCAGGTCATGATACAGCTAGTAGTAGTAAGTCACATTCAACTGGACCTGTTCTGTAATGTTGAAGATGTTTTGTAGCTTCTCCAAAATACTTATTTGGTTCTAATGAGTTTCAAGAACATACCCCATTATTAATAACCAAACATGTAGCACAGGCACCATAACCCAATCACCATGGAATGTGTTAGGGCAGATGTTGATTGTCCAAGAGAGGTGTGAAAGTTAAGGAGCCAAGCAAAAAACAGAGGACCATTGAACAGAGGGCAGAAGCAGAACACATGGAGTAATACAGTTATCTCATATGTAGCTGGAGTGTAAGGAAAACTGAGAAGAATCTATGAAGCCCAGCAATACATTGAGACAGAAGCTTGTCTACCGAAGAGACCCAACACTCAAACACAAGCAAAGGAACTTGGAACATGCAGTGCAGTGTAGTGAGGAATGCAAAGACCTGAACACTGTGGAGACAAATCAATCTCAGAACAAACGAATGGCCCAAAATTGGAGGACAAATTCAGCAGTTTCCCTTCACCTTAATGAAAAGGACAATCTTTCGAGGATGGTGAGGAGCACATATGGACAGAGAGGACAACTGGTTCACAACAGGTGTGAAAGAGGCCATCTATTTCAAACTGGGACAACCATCCCTGAACAGGGTTGAGGTGCTTGGACACCATCTGTCTCCCACATATGCCATTTTAACATCTCTGCCCTAGTCAGCTGACAACAATTTACACCTTAAGTCCAGTAAATGTAAGGATTTATACCTATGCACACTTCCTGACACCAAGGATGGAATTATTTAACTAGAAGAGGGGGGGGGGGGGTTTAACAACTTCCACAACTCCCATTCGGTTTTTTGATAATACACATCTTCCACGGTGGTTGGATTAAGGTGTCAGTTCTACCTGTGTGGATATAAATGCTGGGGTATGTTCCTGACACTCTTTAGACCTGTGGAAGTGGCTTGGAGAAGCTCTGAAACATCTTCAGCATTACAGAACAAGTCCAGTTGGATGTGACTAACTACTATCACTTCTAACACTCTTTAGAGCTGAAGGAGTGGCTTTGAGCAGCTACAAAACGTCCTCAACAGAAGAACAAGTCCAGTTGAATGTGACCAACTACTAATAGCTGAACCAACATTAATGAAAACACACCTTTTTAGTTCACTGGGAGCTAGTGACTCCACTTGAGGGCCTTCATTTGTCATCAGCTCCTCGTAAACAAATATGTTTTCTACCTCAGTGATATACCAAGTTCTCATGTCATTGGTGCAGCCAACTGAATGGCCACTTCCCGAGTTTGTAGGTAAATTGTGTGGTTTGGTTTTTATAGACCTTATTATGGAGAGCATGTGTTAGGAGAATATCTGTAGAGTGGAGACCAGTGGCCTGAACCTTAAGGCT